CCCGCCGCGGCTCCCGGAGCAGAGGCCGCTGCCGCGGACGTTTGGCCACCGGGCGAGAGCCCCTTCGCTCCTCTTGTGCCGCCCCCATCCCCATCCGCCAGGAAGGACGTCCGCGCCGGGGCTGCACGGGGGACTTCACCGGGGGTGAGCACAGACGGGGCTGGATTCGCTCGCCCCGAGGGGTTGCTCCCGACGCCCGCGTGAATCCAAAATGCGGGCAAAACAAACCCACAAACGCTGCCTTAAAATGGGACCGCACGCGCGGTCGCTGCTCGCAACCGGCCCGGCTCCAGGGAGAGCAGCGGGACTGCAGGGCGCACGCGGCCGCGGCGAGAGGGGCTCGCTGGGCACGGCCGCCATCGTCCCCGCAGCAGCGCCGTGATGGGGAAACACCGCAGGGCTTCCGTACGGTAAAGTCATTCCTGCGGCCAAGGGGCGAATCTTCGACCCGCGGCGCAGCTCTGTTCATACTGATCTGCTCCATTAACGGCTTTCTCCTGGTCATGTAATAAATATCATTTGGGTCAATTTTTAACATGAGATTCTCCTTTGTTCAGGTAGGTTTGGCCGAGTCTGACGTTGCTTTCTTGGCGTTCCCCCTCCTTCCTGGCAGTCCTGATATTGCAGCATCAGGAGGAGAGGGACTCTTTGTGGTGTGGCTAAAAGGGCTGCTGCAAATTCTGATTTCTTGCTCTCTGAATGTGGTCTCATGAACAAAATCTTTGTGGCCTTTTCTTTTCCAGTGAGGTACATGCTTTTCTCCAAAGGAACACTTTGTGCAGAAAGACTCAAATGCAGGGAAAAAAAATGAACCAGCTACCTTATAGCTGGCTCTACCTTTACCTGTGGAGCTCCCTAGAGGGAGGGCAATGTCCGTCCTCTGGGACTTTGCCCCTCGGAATGCGACTGGAGCACCAAAACTTTGCAGGCCCCTGGGAAAGCACCACTCTGCTGTGCGTGTCCCCTCTGGAAATGGAGCAGAGCTTCCAGGGGTGTCACAGCCCGGCTCTGCGGAGCACAGCAACCCAGGTAACTAGTGGGGAGCAACTCCGAGCTCTGCGTGGGAAACTGCTAGATGGGTTTGTAAATGGTGAAGCTGGTAAATGCCTTTAGACAGGGCAGTCCTTGCTGGATGCACGTGCCATCCCCCAGGCTCCGAGCAGGAGCAGCCTGGCCAGCCCATTCCTACAGACACGTCTACCTGGGAGCAGGAAACAGGGAGGTGACTGGCCCAGCTGTCCTGTTCCTGGCTGCTTTCCTAGGGGTAAGGTCAGGCTGTGTTTAAAGGGAGGTCTGCTTCATCTTAAAACCACATAGAGCAATTCCTGTAAGTGAGGATCCCGCTGTCTAGTCACCTTCCGGAAACAGCTCCGTAACCAGCTCTTGGGTCACTCCTACTCCCACAGCAAACGATTCCCCACCCTGCTCCTACCTGGAGTTTCTCTGTTCTGTCTCCCCAATAATCTTTCGTGCCTCTCCGTACCAGCCCAGCTCAGTACAAACGTGTCACTTGGTAACTGATCAAATCCGTTTTAATAGAGTATCATAAGCAGGTGCCTCATCTACCTGCACAGGAGACAAGTTGCATGAAGAGGTTGCTGCCTCCAGAAGAGCCACAGCAGCATGTGGCAGCACCAAGGGGGTTTTCCAGTTTTGGCTGTGTTCTGTTCTTGGCTGTGAATCTGTAAATAAACTCTAGCAAAGTGAGCAGAAGAGTCCTTTACAGAGGATTTTTTTGAACCAATACCCTGGGTATTAAGACCAAGGAACCCATCTTCTCTCCACCTAATCTTAGCACCATGTTAGATTTTGTAAATGTTAATCTAACTATTCAAAGAAAAAAAATGCTTTGGTGCCTCCCTAAACGCTCGGTCTTTACATTCAGTAAGGGTTAGCACTGTGTTAGTGCTGCAGCCCGTGTCCCCACAAGGGCAGGCTGATTCCTGACGTGCAGGAGCAGCGAGGAGGAACCGGCCCCCCCGCCACGCTCCTGCCTCGCCGCAGGAAGCCTCTCGGGTGGCGGGAGGTCACGGATCGCGTGCCCGGGCTGGGTGGCAGGGAACTAACTGCCACGGGCACCGCAGGCACCAGCAGCAGGGGTGAAGCTCGCCCAGAAGAGCTACGCAGAGAGCAGGCAGAGAGCTCAGGGGCTTCCTCACACATCTTCCCCTTCCTCCTCCTCGTCCTCCTCGTCGCATTTGTCCTCCGAGGGCAGGAGAGGCCGGTGCTGGCAGGGGCGGGGCCCCGCCGCGC